GGCGGGATCGTGTCTCCAAACATGCCCAGGCCCTCTGCTCACCTCGCAAGCCTCCAGGATGGTGACCACGTCGCCCTTGCGGAAGGCCAGCTCTCCAGGCTTGGGGCGCGTGTGCTCACACTTGGTGATGCACTGGGTGCCTGGGGCCCAGCGCCTCTGGGTGGGGCGTAGGGGAGAGGGAGCAAAGGGGGCTTGAGGGAGACATCCCAGAGAAAGAAAGAACGGATTGAGACAGAGAAAACAGAGAAGCGGGGAGAGGACGAGGGAGCAGCCAGCAGAAGTATATTAGAGTCACACGCCAAGGCCGCTCAGGACCCAAGGTCAGGAGGAAAAGGCGAAAGAAGCAACGCCCAGTTGACAGAAAGACCAGAAGACACCAGCTAAAGGGGACAGAGGTCGGTATAGTGCCCCTCCCCAGGGAGCTGAAGTCCTGCAGGGGTAGACTGAGGGAAGGAAGGGCGGAAGGCAGGCTCGCCTGGGGTACTCACCGCGGGCATGCTGGCTGGGGTGGCGGGCTACCAGGGGGAGGAAGCGCGGGCCACCTGAGGGGAGGGGCGGATACAAGCTAGGCTGGGGCCCTGCAGGCCATCACCCCCCATGCAGTTTCTCCACGCCCCTTTGGGAAGGTGGCCTTTCCCCAGGGGAGTTCCTTAGCGGAGTCAAAGCCATGAAACACCAGCAAGGAGACCAGGGAGCCTTGCCTCACCATGGTCCCCTAAGGGAAACTGAGGCACGAGGTGGGCACAGGGCTAGTGGCCACCGGCTGGGGAGCAGGGAGATGCCTGGCTCAGGCCCCAGCAGTCCACACCGCGCATGGGGAGCTTGGTGCCACCTTCCTCTTTTCTGGTGGGTGGGAAGGAGCGGGGCCATGAACACACAGTATGAGTCAAGGTCACTGCCAAGAAACTCTGACCCTGGGGCGGGGGCAGGGCAAGGGCAGTGCAGCCCTGCTGGGCTCCTCTGGCCACCAGCTGAACCTCTCTGATCTCCCCCACCCCAACCCAGGCCGGACACACACAGCTCCTATTGCTGCCTGGGTGGGGACTTTTCCGCCCCCTGCCTGGGCAATGGGGCGGGTTGTGGGGTGAGTTTCTTCCAGTATGCACCCCTATAAATCCCCAGCCCTACAGGTACTCACACGCATACTGATCCATGTACACACAAGCACACGCTGACACACATGGGGCTTGGACACAGGTGACAGAGGTACACACGGGCACGCAGGTGTGCAAGCAAAGGCACGACCCCTAGAGACAGGTGTGCACACACGCACAGGTGCTTGGACATCTGGAAACGTGTATCTGCCCACCCCATCACACACACCCAGACCCACACTGCAACACCTGGGCGCCAGACGCTGGGCCACCCAGGCACGCAGGGCCGCGCACACGCGTCTCGGCCACACGCGCATCTCCCTCCACGTGGACGCGCGGATTCACACACCCGGGGGCTCGCAGACACGCACAACCGCACCCGGAAAAATGCCCCCGACTCCGCGCTGGTCTCCTCTAACGCACCCCCTCCCCAGTCGCGCACCCGCCGTGTGCCCCGGCTGCGCACACTCGCGCGCACACCGGCCCCTCCCGCGCACGCGGGGGGCCCCACGGAGCCCTTCGATTCCCCTCCACTGCCCGCGCGGTCTCTCCCCACATTCCCGCCGCCGCGCTCACCTGCTCAGGGGGCGTCCCCGGGCCGCGCCCCGCTCCCGCCCCCAGGAGGGCCCCCGCGTGCCGGCTGCGCACCCCGAGGCGGCCCGGCTGCACAACTTGGAGCAAGTTCCTCCGTTTCCTCATTTTGGGAGGGGGAGGAGAGC